CGGGGGGGGGGGGAGCAAACTGTCACAACAGAAGCACGGCAAGGGCACACGGCAAGGGGCTGGGCCCTGAAAGCCTCCAAAAAACTTTAATACTGATGCGTGGATACATCCACAGAGAAAAGCATCTTTCTACACCTGCAGAACCTTGTCGAGCGTCAGGCAGTGGAGGGGGTCCCCAGCGGACCTCCCTGGCCACCCAACCAGCCGGCCCAGGGCCTGTCCACGGGCTCGCCCTTACCGCAGCTCCGGAGGGTCCAGGGCGCGACCAAGCCCGCCCCTCTGGCCGACCGCATCTCTTCCAGCCGCAGGGAGCCGCAGCGGGGGTCTGGCACGGCTGGCGCCCCGAGTGAGCTGGGGACACACAAACACCTGTGTGAGCAGCGAACATCCTTGAGGCAGGAGACAGCTGAGGGCTGGCGGGGGGATGGGTGGTAATCTGGGCTCTCCTGCAGACCCAGTGTCCAGGGAGACCCAAGGGCCAAAGGGCCAGAGGGCCAGGAGGGCAGTGGCGAGCAGGCGGGGCCTGTAGATGCCCACACCCTCAGGATCTCCCAGCTCTGCAGGGCCTGGACTGTGAGCGGCGACTCGGGGCTCTGCACTCGGACCCGGGGGGACCAGCGCCCAGCAGGAGCGCTCAGCATCCACGGTCACCATCGGCGCTGGGGCCAGCATCAGAGTGCCCTCTGCCCAAAAGCCCTCGCCTGCCCTGGGTCTGCTCCTGCAAAGCGGCTGCTCTGGCAGTGACGGGCATGGGGCATGTCCTCTGTCTCTGTCCCCTCGGCCATCTGCTAAGGAGGACTGTCCGCCAGGCCCAGAGTGGAGCAGGGCCCACATCTTAGCTCTAAGCCTCAGCACCATCTTCTCGTGCCGGCACTGCCACCCTGTCCACAGAGGGGCCTGAGCCGGCCGGATGGCCAAGGAGGCCGGGGTCAAACTGGTCCAGTCAGACTCAGAGACCTGTCCTCCATCAGGGTGAGCTCAGCCTCACCCAGGGCTGCCCAGCACGTCTGCCACAGGAGGAGGAAGGCATGGCCTTGGGCCCCCCCGAGAGGGCAGCAGTCCAGGTGGGGTGGGAGAGCCGCCGGGCACAGGTGGGCTGCAGCTGCCCGGATTAGGGGCTTGGGGCACAGATGACTGTGCAAGCCAGGTGTGTGTGCCGGGCTCGGATGAGCTGTGCCGACAGCCCGCCTCACTTCACGTCTCATCAGCACACATGGCTGTCCCTCCTGCACCGAGTGACCCAGGATGCCCTTGAGTGACTAAAGACACCGGCCACACCTGCAGACCATGGAGGTGGGCCCTCCTCCAGCCCCACAGGTGTTCGCTGAGCACCTGCTGTGCTTCCCAGGTGACCCACCACCCGGCCCCTACCCTACAGCTCACAGTCCTACCGGGGAGATGGCGTGAAAAGACTGTTCCAGGAAGAGGGAGCGGCCCTGGGGCCCAGACGAGAGGTGCTGAGGAGGTGAGGGATGGGCCCAGGGGCTGATCCTGGAATGACCCCAGGGATGCTGGGGCAGGAGCGCTGACCGCGGGCTCCGATGGTCAGGGGTGGGTTCCTAGAGGCAGTGGCAGCAGGGGCTGCTCCAGGAATGCGCAGTCATGGAGACAGGGGGACTCTCTTGCTCCCTCCTTCCCAACCCAGAACTTAGGATGCTATAACCCCCACCTGGGATCAACAAAGGGCAGGAAGGAGCTGCGTCCTCCAAGCCTACTTAAAGGGAATGCCATCAGTCCACAAGCCATTCTCCCTCAATTGTCTAGAGCAGGGATGGCAAGTATTTCCCACAGAGGGACAGACGCAGGCCACACGGTCTCTGTCTCTGTGGAAACCACTCAGCTCTGCCTTTGTAGCAGGAAAGCAGTCACACTCGTTATGTAAATGATGAGCATGGCTGTGTGCCAACAAAACTTTATTTACAAAGACCAGAGGTGGGTCTAGAGGGCTGTGGCTTGCTGACCACTGGTCTAGATTCTCTAGGGCAGTGGTTCTCAAACTTCAGTGAGCATCAGAATCGCCTGATCACTGGGCCCACCCCCAGCATAGCAGATTTAGGTGGGTTGGGATGGGCCGGGCACTCTGCATTTTTAACGAGTTCCCAGGGAACAGTTTGAGAACCACTGGCCAGGGAACGGGTGTAGCAGAAAAACGGGGGGCTCTGGAGTCCATGCCCTGGGTCTGAAACTTGGCTTGTCCTCCCCCAGGCTATGTGATCCTGGGCAAGGTCAATTCTCCTCTGCCAGCCTCAGCTTCCCCATCTGTAAAATGGGGATGAGCACACAGCCCTCAGGGTTGCTGCAAGCACTGCATGAGGTGCAGGGAGGCCTGCGGGGTGACGGCAGGCGCGCAGCTGGGGCACACACTCCTCTGTCCTTCCTTCCAGAGATGCTGGGGTGGACTGGGCCTCGGAGGCCCAAGCCCCATGGGGGGTGGGAAGCCCTGGTGTCCTCACCACATGATGCTGGTAACACGCTTGGCCCCCACCTGGCCACTGAGCACTGTGGCCCCAGCGGGGAGAGGGCTCGGTGGAGGGGACCCACCCTGACCCGGGAACTGGCCTGAGAGGTGGCAGGACGGGCCAGGCCCCGAGAGGGGAGCTGCGACCTGCATCCCTGGACTCACTCGGGCAGCGAGGGAGGTGACCAGAGGCACGGCAGCAAAGCAGCCCCGTGAAGCAGTGAGTGGAGACTGCTAGTTGAGAAGACTGGGCCGGGCCAGGTGCCTTCCGGAGGCCCGAGAGGCCCAGGCGGCCCCTGGGCCCGTGGAGGGTGCTGGGACGTCCAGGGCGCAGCCCTGAACGATTTCCACCTCCTCCTGTCTCCCGGCCTGGTCAGGCTGAGGTGGGGAGGGAGGCACAGTGCCCCTGGTGGGAAGGTCCCGAACACCCCTCGGCTTTGACACCTTCTGGCCTGAGCCCCTGGGACCTTGCTGGCTGCCCAGCAGCGGGACACACAACTGTAGGCTGTCCACCTTAGAGCCTAGGGCACCGAGAGTAACCTCTGGAGAATTCTCCCACCCGTCTCCCCTTCTCAAGCCCTAGATCGGGAGCAGGATGGGGGCGTTAGGTACAGAGGACGTGAAGTCCAGCCCGATGCTGACCCCTACTGGTGTCAACAATTCAGTTTCAGTAACTGCGCTGAGGCTGGGCAGGGGAGGGGCTGGGGGAGGGGAGGGAGGGTGAGGCACGGCTGGGGGAATCAGGGTGGATTCAGGGCCACCCCCCATCTCCAAGGGGGGGACTCTGAGGCCGGTGGGGGGGGCCGTGAGTGTGCTCAAGGTCACCAGCTTTAAGCACGGACCTGGGATCTGCACTGACCCCCGGAGGCCCTAGGGCAGCCGCACGTAGGAGGGCAGCAAGCCCAGGACAGACTGGGTGAAGGGGGCGGTGAGAAGCCCCCGGCATCCCTCCCAGCGGGCTCTGGCCGATACTGACAACGAGCAAGGCCAGCCCCCTGGAGACCACCCACTGGCCTGTCCCCCTCTGGAACCCCCTCCCCCGCCCCAGTTCTGAGCTGTAGAGCCTGGAGCCCCGGAGGACGAGGACGTGTGGCCACACAAGGTGAGCGGGCAAGCAGGGAGGGCCTGCGTGGGGGCCAGGCAGGAACGGCTGCCCCCCGGCGCTTCAGCCCCAGGACGGAGAGGGGAGGGGCCCACGGTGTCTGACAACCTCCTGGTGCGGGTGCCAAGGAAGGAGGGGGGCGGGGCTGGGGACCAGCAGGGCACCACTGGCGGGTGAGCAGGCTTGGACGGCGACCCGCACCTGCAGGAGCCCCTGGGCAGACGGGCGGGCGATGTGGCAGAAGGAACAGTTCTTGGGGTGGGAGAGGGGTGAGTCCTTGCAGAAGGAGACAAGCCTGTCCCCGAATCCTGGGACGACTGGGGGCCACAGCTGCTCAGGGAAGACCAGGTGACAAGAAAGCGGCTCCCCTGCGCAGCCCAACCTTTAGAGCCCTTGTGGACAAAACCTGCCCCAGGCTGGAAGATGCCCCGCTCCTGGAGGGGCTGGGGGTACAGAGCAGGGTCACTAGCTGGGGGGAAATGAGCCGGAGGACAGAGAGGACAGGAGTGACAGCAGCTGGACCTCAGGGGGAGGCCGGCAGAGACTCTGGGGACCTGGGGTGAGGCCCAGAACAGCAGAAGGTCCCCAGGAGAGCGGCTGGCCCTGGGTGGTGGCTACTGAGGCCACATTGCAGGCCCAGGCGGGGCTGGCCCACAGTGCCCCTGCCCCGGTCCGGTCATCTGTCTGTAACTGGGTCTGTGCAAAGGGACCTGTGTGAAGTGACCCCAGAGGAGACCAGTGCTGGAGACGGAAGCCACGAGAAGGTGCAAGGGGCTGTGGACAGGTGGTCCTGAGAACTCGACATGGGCCACTGACCCGGATGGAGTGCTGCCTGTCTCCGTGTCCCCCAGACACAACCAGCCTGCCAGCCACACGGGACGCCTGGCCGACAGTGTTTCCACATGGCTCACTGTGCACAGCCCCGCCAGAGGCATCCAAGGCCAGCACCTCTCCCCAGGCGGGTCAGGAGCCACGTCGCTGGACCTGTCACGGGCTCTGTCACGGGCCGGCAGCACCCACCGTGGGGGCACAAGGCTGCTCAAGAGCGGCGCCCAGGCTTACCTCCCTGTGAAGGGGCTGAGGGCCTGGAAGGAAGCCAGGGTTCTCGCCTGCCTCTTGCCCAGCTCCGAGCGCCCATCCTCCACGAAACCTTTGGAGAGACGGGCACCGGTCCACTGGTCGGTGGGGAGCGAGGACGGGGCCCCCACCCCCCTGGCAGGAGGGACCCTGGTCCTGCTTTCTTGCCCCTCTGCAGGAGGCAGGGCAGAGAGGTGGTGGGCACGTTAGGCTCAGGACCAGGCCCTACCCCTCCCCCAGCCAGAGGCAAGATGGTGACAACAGCTGCAGAGGGACAACTTCTGTGGTCTTGTCAACGTACCCCCGCCCCTTTCAGGAGAAGAAACCCAGAGGCAGGGGGAAAGTGGGGTCCCCCTGGCCACCAATGGGGCAAGTGGTCATCCGCGGCCCCGGGGCCGGCCCTACCTTGGGGCTTGCTGGCCTGGTGGCCCCTTGGGCTGACGCTCTGCAGCTGTTCCCAGCCAGGGCTCCAGGGCAGCGTCTCAGTGTCCGGGAAGCAGGTGGTAGAGAGAAGCGGCCTGGCCCGCATGCCCACCCAGCCCCAGGGTGCCCCTCCGCCCACGTCGGGTGCCAGGGCTCTGGGGCAGGCTGGTGTGCTGGAGCTCGAGGGCGGCGGGCCTGGGACCGGCCCCCCTGCTGCGTCCGTTGCCTCGGACCTGCTCAGCCTGTCGGTCAGGACGTCGATTCGCTGCTTCAGGATGTTAGCCATGGTCTCCAGGGCCTGCAGCCGGGCCTGCTTGTACCGGAAGTGCAGGGGGCCCGGCGTGCCCAGGCGTTCGGACTCCTCGGGGTCCAGGTAGATGCACAGCCCCGGGCTTGAGTAGTGGGTGGTCAGGTCCTGGAGTTGCGGGGGGCCCAGGGAAGAACTGGCCGACGTCAGCAGGGGGGCGCCCTCCCAGCCATCTCGGGGGCCTCCCACCTCCAGAGTCTCGGACGGGTTCAAGGCTCTGTTCAAACACAGGCAGAAGCTGCAGGGAGAGAGGGGGAGAGGGTCAGCCCTAGGGCGCCCTCTCTAGGCGCATATGGGGAGCGCGCGTGTGCAGGCATGTGCAGAGCGGCAGCTTCCATGCCAGGCCCAGAGTCTATTCACTGCATCTGTTTATGACCAGGGGGTGATTATGGTGCATCCATAGGGCAGAACACACGTGGCTGTTAGAAAGGAGGAGGATGGTTGGCAATGATCTCTTGGATATGGCACCAAAAGCAGTGGTAACAAAAAACAGAAAAAAATAGATAAACTGGGCTAGTTCAAAATTACAAATTTACACGCATCAAAAGACCCAATCAACAGAATGAAAAGACAACCTACAGAATGAGAGAAAACATTTACAAACCCAGATGTGATCAGAGATTACTCCCCTGAGTATATCTCCTGCAACTCAACAGCAACAAAAACCCAAATAACCTGATGAAAAAACAGGCAAAGACTTGAATAGACTTTTCTCCAAAGAAGACATACAAACGGCCAGGAAGCACGTGGAAAGATGCTAAACATCACTAATAATTAGGGAAATGCAAATGAGAGCCACAGTGAGGGACTTCCCTGGTGGTCCAGTGGTTAACACACCGCGCTCCCAATGCAGGGGGCCCGAGTCCAATCCCTGGTCGGGGAACTAGATCCCGCATGCCGCAACTAAAGATCCCACGTGCCACAACTAAGACCCAATGCAGCCAAATAAATAAATAAAAATAAATAAATAAATATCTTTTTAAAAAGGCGCAATGAGATACCACCTTACACCCTTTAGGGTGGGCACTATTAAAGGAAAAGAAAAACAAGTGTTGACAGCTACGTGCACAGTTGGTGGAATATAAAATGGAAAACAGTATGGAGGTTCCTCAAAAAGTAAACATAGAATTCTCATATGACCCAGCAATTCTAATTCTGGGTACATATCGCACAGAATTGGAAGCAGGGGCTTGAAGAGATGTTTGCATACCTACGCCCACAGCAACACCATTCACAGCCAAAAGATAGAAGAAACCCAAGTGTCCATCAACAGACGAATGGATAAACAAGGTGTGGTCCATCCATACAACGGAATATCATTCAGCCTTAAAAAGGAAAGAAATTCTGCAATAGGCTACAACATGGATGAACCTTGAGGATGTCATGCTGAGTGAAATAGGCCAGTCGCAAAAGGGTCCCAGAAGGAATCAGATTCATAGAGACAGAAAGTAGGACGGTGGGGCCTGGGGCTGGAGTGGGGAGGGATGGGGAGCGAGTGTTTCATGGGGACAGAGTTTCAGTTTGGGAAGATGAGAAAGTCCTGGAGATGATAGTAGTGATGTTTGCACAGCAGTGTGAATGTACACGTAATGCCCCTGAACTGTGTGCTTAAAACTGCGTAAGATTTTACGATCTTAACAAAATTTTACAATTTTGTCATGTGTATTTTACCACAATTTTTTTAAGTGGAAAAAAAAAAAAAAAAAGGACAGAGTGAAGCACGATGAAGGACCTGCAGCCTCCTCCACCACAGAGATAGCCCCCCCCCCTCCAGCATCATGCCCAGCAGAAGGAGCCCAACAGGCAGGAGCCCCTGCCAGCATTTCCCATGGTGGGGGGCTGCCCTCGGGTGTGAGCGGTTTCTCAGCCCCAGTGCAGGTTACACACGTGCTCAGCGTGCGAGCATTCACTGAGCTGCACACCTAGGACCTGTGCCCTTGTCTGGATATGATCAGATGTCAACTTTAAAAAGTTAAAAAAAAAAACGCACACCCCTGGGCTGCCCTGTGGACCTGGAATCTTGGGCAGGAGTGCGCACTTTAAAGACAAATGAAACAAAAGGGATCCGGAGAGGGAAATCTCCAGGAGCCAGGGGCCAGGGGAGGGTGTCCATCCCACCGAGGTGGACGGGTGGGGGGTCGAGGGGCTGCAAAGAGGGGTGGGCGCTGAGCTCCAAAGGGTTCAGCCCAAAGCCCCCTCCCAGAACTCTGGCTGCCAAAGACCCATCCAGGAGCCAGGTTCAGAGCGAGCCCAGGGCAGGAAGCTCCCGGTGGGCGGCATCTTGTGGGGACCCCTGTCCTTAGCCTCTGGGCCAGCTCCTCCCCCTAGCCATGGGCGGATGATACCCTAGGAGCCTGGCTGTGAGTTCCCCCTCCTTCATCGGGCAGGTGGCCGGGAAGTGGCTGGCACCGGCCTGAAGCCCACGGGGCACTCCCTGGAGCCCTTCCCCGCGAGGGCAAGCGCTGGGAAGGCCAGCCTCTAGGGAGCCTGGACGCTCAATTCCCCCAGCAAAGTGGGGGAAGGTCTCCCACCCTGCACATCAAGATGCTGCTCGGGGAGTAGCCTCCCGGACAGTTGCCCCAGAGAAACGAAAACACACGGCAGTGAAAACAAAGCAAAAATGAAAGCAAGGGAACAGAAAACAAACCCAGAAAATAAGTGTTGGTGAAGACAGGGAGAAACTGGATTTCTCGTGCACTACTCTGGGAATGCAAAACGGTGCGGCCACTGCCAGAAACAGCCTGGCAGTTCCTCCACCAGTTAAATATGGAGCTACCACATGACCCGGCAATGCCACTCCCGGGTGCGTGCACCAGAGTAGCCGAAAACAGGTGCTCAGACATTTCACTCACAGCAGCCAAAAGGGGGAAACTGCACACAAGTCCGTCAGCTGCCCCATGGGTAAGCAAAATGTGGGAGATCGCACAGTGGAATATTACTCGGCCACAACAAGGAAGGAAGTCCTGACACAGGCTGCAACGTGGATGAACCTAGAAAACTCGCTCAGGGAAAGGAGCCTGGCACAATGGCCCCATGCTATAGGATTCCACTGACACGAGACATCAAAACAGGTGAATCCATACACACAGATGGACAGCAGACCGGGGAGTGACTGCTAATGGAGACAGGTTTCCTTTCAGGGTGATGAAATGTTTCTGGGGGCTAGATGGAAGTGGTGGTTACACAATATTGTGAACGTGCCAAATGCCACTGAATAGTTTCCTTTATAAAGGTTAACTTAACGTGATGGGAATCTCACCTCAGGGAAAACTAACGCAGCCCTGATCACAGGCTCTGTGCAGCTCTGGACAGAGGGAGCGACTCCCCGCCTGGGAGAGCCCCCCCAGGAAGTGCAGTCCTGGCCCCTGCACACCCACCTGCCCGGGGCGCCCTGGTCCCCCAGCACCATGCCGGAAGTCACCCTGCTCCACTGCGGCACAGGCGCTCCTGGGCCCCCGGCGGCTTCCAGGCCCTAAAGCAGAGGAGAAGGGACGTTGTCAGAGCCCAGCCTGGACCAGAAGACCCCAGGCCTTGTCTCAGCCTCAGAGCTGGCCCCAGCCTCCACAAGGATCTCAGGCTGGGTCCCTCAGGGGTCCCCTCTTTGGGGACAGAGACAGAGGCAGTGGGGTCCCTGCAGAGCCCTGCCACAGCCAGGGGACCCCGCGGGACCTCGGTGGCTGAGCTGGTGCATACCCTGGACTGTGCAGAATGCGGGACGAAGGTCACGATGCCGGGCGTCGTCTGGGAGACCACGGGGACGGCCTCCCTCTGCTTCCTGTAGACGCCCTGCAGCCTCTGGTTTCTGAGCTCCAGCGCTTGCGTGGCGGAGGCCTTTTTCTTTAGGGCCTCCGTCTTCTGACGCATGAACTCCCGCAGGGACTCGGAGCCGTGGAGGGGCCCCTGGGGCTTCGGGCAGGGCGGCGGGGATCGCACCTCATTCTCCTTCCCAGGCACGTTCCAAAGGGCGCCCTGGCTGGGCCTTGGCCAGGCGAGCTTCGCCCCCGCGGGGGTCAGCAGTGGACCCCTGCCCTGGCACAGGGGGCCGGCCCCCTGCGGGAAGGCGGGGCTCCAGGGCCTTTGGGCGGAGCCCTCCCGGTCTTCACAAGCGGTCCAGGCCCTCTGCAGACCCCAGGCCTGCCCGGACGAGGTGCTCCGGGGACGCTGCAGGAAGGGGCCCCATCTTTCAGGGGGGCTCGCGGGCCCCCGTAAAGAGCAGTCCCGTCCTTGGGCTGCCCAGGTCTTCTGTGGACAGGAGGCCCGCCTGGCCGAGGCGCTCCAGGGCCGCTGAGGGAAGGAGTTCAGCCTCTCTGTGGGGCTCCTGGGTCCCCGGAAGGAGGGATCTCGTCCTTGGGCCGCCCAGGTCCTCTGCGGACAGGACTCCCACCTGGCCAAGGTACTCCAGCTCGGCGCCGTGGGCAGGCTCCCAGCCCTCTCGGAGGCAGGCACCCCCTCCGTCACGGCCCGAGGGCTCTTCCAGGAGCCCCGCAAGTCTGGGAGCTTCCAGGGGCTCTGCCACCTCCTCCCCGCCAGGTCCCGCGGCTCCAGCCCTCGCCTTGGGTGGTGGTCCTGGGCCAGCTCCAGCCTGGCCTGGGTTTGCTGGCGGAGGTCTCGAAGGATGGCCAGAGCAGCCTGGATGTTCATGGGCTGATGGCAGGAAGCCAGGTGGGGAGCATTGGTTGACACCTGCGGGTCGCTGTGGGCAGAGGTTGATCTAGGCAGCCGGGGGCGGACAGGGGAACTCTCACCAGCTCCCGACTTCTTGCTGTGTCCTGAAAAGACAGGCAGTTGCAGGGGTGGCCAGAGCTGCAGGGCTTCAGGAGGAGCAGAGCCGGCCCCTCCCCTCTCCCTGAGGCCCCCCCTGTTGGTTCTGCGCCCATCATCCACTCACAGAGCCCTCTGGGGGCAGGTGCCACGTCGGGGTGACTCGAGGCTGAGCCTGGGCACCTGGCGCAGAGCCACCCCCTCTGAATGTGGTGAAAACTAAGGAGGGGGGCGCGGGGGGAGGTGACACGTCTCCCGGGAGCTGTTGTGGTTCCCATCCTGCAGTCCCTGAGTCAGGAAAGCCTGGTGGCCAGGCCCTGCCTTCTGGGAGCCGAAAGGGTGCCTCTCGGGGACAGAAATCCTGTTCCTGGGCTTTTAAATGGAGCGACTCCCCAAAGTCCCCGTCTGGTGGGGGGTTTGGAGGGCGTCTGACGGGTCGCTGGGAGAGAGGTGCCGGGCCCGCACCCTGATGCCACTGCTTCCTGGGCGTCTCTCCCTCTGGCCCACACTCCAGATGCCACACCGAGCGGAGCAGAGCCGAGGCGGAGGCACGAGGTACCTAATTCTGCGGTGGGGGCCCGGCCTCTTGAGGGTGCCTTGCTCTGAAGCCTAGGGAGGGAAGGAGGGGGCCCAAACAGCACCCTCACCAGAGCTAGTCCTTTTCTCAAAGTGTAAACACCAACCAACTCAGAATCTTAAAGAGAAAACGCACACAACAGCCAGGTGCCCAGGGCCCTCCGACGCTGGCCCAGACAGGGAGGCTGGCGACTCCACGCAGACCCAGGAGACCAGTTCACACGCACCCAGAGGGGATGGGGTGAAAACCCTCGTGTCCAGGCCATTCTGGGGATTGGGCCACACCCCCAGCCATTAGCCAGCATCCTGGCAGGGCTGAGTCCCAGGATGACCTTGAAACGTGACCTGATTTCTCTGACCCTTGGGGGTAATAAAATGTGCTCCCTTCAGATTTGTCTGTAAAACATTCAACACAGGCCCAGGAACACCGCACACGCTCAGTAAAGGCTGGCCAGTAGTAACGACAGTCACTGGCACAAGCAGGGCTCACACAGGCGAGGGGGAGGCAATGTTATCACCGATCATTTGCCCTGAGCCAGAGAAAATTAATTTGTTTTTAAACTGGTGAGACTCAGCAGGGATAGGGGAGGGGACTCAAGGAAGACAGTCAGGTTGGCAGGACAAGGGGTCCCGGAGAGCGTGGAAACAGCCACCCCATCCCAAACACAAAACAGCTTTCTTTCATAAATGCTGTCACATAATAAACATCATTCATCATGTTTCACTTCATAATCCCAAGTTACGCTCACCAAATGCCAATAGCAGGCCCACCACCATAACAAACCCATCCACAAGGGCCCTGGCAGAGGTAGCGCCGGCCTTGAGCTCACAAACACACGTGTAAGCTCACTCGCTTACACAGCCTGCGTCTCCGGGGTAGGGGGAGCTAGCCCAGGGAAGGGTGTGTCCCGCAGGGCTGTTCCAGGGGCGTGGTCGCGGTCTGGGGGGGGTACTTACTGAGGCGTGGCCTCTGGGCGTGGCTCTGTACCGCCCTTCCCCTTGCAGGAGCTCCATCTTCAGGCCTATGGCTGAAGTCCCTCCTGGTCTGGGCTGGGGAACGTGCTGTGTCTGGGGGGCAGGGTGTGATAGGTGGGTGGTCTCTGCTGTAAGGCACCCTGGTTTGCCCCTCCCTGAGACCACGCCCTCCGCCCCAGGCCCCTGGTGACACCGGAAGGTAAGAGTGAGGTCTCAGGAGTCCCAGACCTGGGTTTAAATCCCAGCTCCTCCTGTCTAGCCACTGGCCTTGGGCAAGTGACAACTCCCCCGTGCCTCAGTTTCGCCATCTGTAAGCATCTCCCCGCAAGGCCACCAGGATGCAAAAGCGAAGCCGTCACGCTCGCTACAGGAGTTGCCCAGAAAGATCAGGATTCTGATCAGGATTGAGTCTGGACTGCCCACCTGCCACATGTGACCTATGAGTGGGACCTGGGGGCTTGGGCTACCCAGAGAGGGTCCTGCGTCCTGGTCCCTAAAGCTGCTGCACTGCACAAAAATGGCCTCACTCCCTTGGTCGGGGCCCTAGGCAGGGACCACACCAGGTAGGGAGGGGGCCACCTGCTGGCCAGGCCCCTCTCAGCACCCCCATCCGCAGGCCCCTCCATCACTGGCTTCCCCATTAGCCCACCGGAGGGGTCCAGGTCAATAAATGGGTCCTGATGGGCACATTTTTTTCTTCCACAGAGCAGTTTAACGGCAATTAATTTTTTTACGAGAGGATTTTTAATCTGTGGAAATGGATGAAATGCCCAAGTGCCCTGTCAAAGTTCCAGGGCCGACCTAATCTATGATAAAAAACACAAAGTGAGGTGCTATGATCTGAAATTAGATATCGGGCTTCATTTTCCTGTGGCCCAGATGGATGAATATTTTATAACTATTGTGATTTAATTTTTTGTTAACTACAGCAAATTTCTAATTTATCCAATTCCCAAGTCCTGTGGCTCTGACCTCTGAACCCAAACTCATCTCTCCTCAGCCCAGCTGTGACTTCGTAACTGACAGAAACTAATGGCCACCTCCATCAGGGTGACACGGCGGTTACGGTGACGAATGCGGCCCATGGCGCGCCCTTTTGACCCCGTGTAGGCAGAAGGCAGGTCATCTTTCAAGGGAGCCGTTAAAATAAAACAAACCAAAATGCCGAGGAATGGTGGAGGGTGGGGTGGGGTGGGGGGAACGCGATGCAGAAAACTTATATTTTGTGCTTTTTCAGTGGCCTTCCGGAACCTTCTCCGTGTCTCCCAGCGTCCCTCACTCTGGTTCCAGTGGAGGTTTTCCCGACACGTCCCCACCTCGCTCAGGGCCCACCTCCAGCCAGAGGAGGAGGACAGGTGTTTCTCCTGCTGGAGCCGTCGCCTGCCCAAGGGCAGAGGAGGCGGTGTCTGGTGGCATGGGCACACCACACATGGCTCACTCCCACCCAGGACTGTGATCTCATACGCTGGGGAAACTGAGGCATAGAGATGTGCAGAAACAGCTCGACCTCCAGTGCTGCTGACTCCGAGACCAGGGGCCCCACAGAGCCGACCTCAGCCTCCCAGGGCTTTCTCCAACCAGGGGGCTCTGGCTGGTGTCTCCGAAGCCCGTGGTACAGTGGTCCCAGAGCCCAGGCCCCGAGGGTGGGCCTGGAGAAGGTGCCCCGGTGTGGGCCCACGTATGCACAGCTGGGCTCTCTCAGGTAGGGAGCACAGGCCTGGAGCTGTCAGGGCCCAACCCCGGCTCGCCTGTGTGGTCCTGGGCAGGGCTGTTGAACCTGTCTGAGCCTCAGTTTCCTCATCTACAAAGTGGGAGTGAGCCCACCTGCCTTCGAGGAGAGCTGTGAGGGTCACGTGAGTTACTGTCGCCTGAGCGCATGGCACACTCGGACAGAGTCCGCCACTGAGCGAGGCCGCTCCTCCCCGGTTCAGAACGTGCTGAAGGAAGGCCCCGGAGGAAGGCCACCCTCTCTGTTCCCCACACACCCACATCCAGCTCATTCACCCCACGAGCTCCACAAACCTACCAGGCTGGGCAGCTGGGTCTTTGCTGGACGCCAACACCCCACGCAGCCCTCAGGAAAAGACACCTGAATTAGGAATTCCTCTGTGAGTGTGGCCCAGCACCACCAAGACCCCTGAACAGACTTCTCCTGGGTCACAGACGGCCGACACGTCTCGAAGGGAAGCGGACGTCGCCCAGCCTTTCCCACCACTGGGCACCCCAGGGGAAGCAGCCACCCCGGCCTCACTGCCTGGAGTCTAAATCTCAAACCAGGCGACAGGCAGACCACAGCCATGCTTCCCGCCACCGATGGCAGCAAAACGGCCACAGCTCAGCCAGTGACACCGAGTCACGAGAAAGCAAGCACATCTGTCCGCCACCAGCTCACATGCCCCCCACTTCACGCCCACCTTTCCGAGGCGGAGCCAGGGCCGCACCAGCCGTCCTGGCTCCAGAAACAAGCCATGTGCCCACCTCCTGAGCCTGGATGGTAACCTCCTGTCCCCACGCCCTGCCTGGCCCCGAATGGGCCAATGCTACCTGTGTCTTTGGCAGTTCTCCTAGGGGTGGGCAGCTTGGAGGTCTTCTCTCTTTTGCAAGAACTACTTTTCATCCTTTTGGTTTTTTCCCGTGGAACTTCAGAGAGAGGAGACAGACGGAAGGAAGGGAGAGAAGGTTGAGTCGCAATGCAACACACGGGATCAGCCAGCTCGTGGGGCCCCTGACTGTCCCCTCACGGCCCTCTGCATGGGACCCCCCCCCCGGGCAGTCCCCCTCACTGGGCTCACCTCACCCACCCTCGCAGCCTCGACTGGACACACGTCCCGAGAGCCCCCAGGCACAGCCGTAGCCTCCCATCTCCGTCCCCTACACCCAGCTCGGGGCCGGCCCACGGCACTCGTGTTTATTGAATGAATAAATGATTGAACAGGCCCACAGATGAAGCCACGGCGGGGCAGCCGGCCAGACGGGACATCGGCTCCTCAGGGAGAGGAGGAGTGAGTGCTAGACCCAGAGGGGCCTTCGCACAGTGGGATCTGCCCGGCTGGACAGGCGGGAACAGGAGATCCAAGCCCACAGAAGGCACAGAGGCCGACTGGAGTGGAGCGGCTGCCCGAGGGTCAGTGTGGGCACCCGGCGCTGCTCTGTTTGGCCTCGTTCATCTTTGTCCCCCGCTGGGTGGACGCTGCATCTCGGAAGCCAACCAGCCAGTGACCGAGTGGGAGCTGGTTCCGGCCCATCGTGTCCCCAGGGACCTGGGGAGCACAGGGAAAGTCTCTCCCGAGGGACTCTCCAGGCCTCCGCGGTGCAGCTGGGTCCCGGCCTCAGCCCGTCCCTCCGTCCTCAGCACCCAACCCCACTGGCAGGAGGGGCCTCAAGACGAGGCCCACACGAAAGGACAAACCCTATAGGATTTCGCTCATGTGAAGTCCCTAAAGGAGTCAAACCCGCAGAAACAAAGAAACAAACCCAAAGAAACAAACCGTGTTTGTACTTAAACACGGTTAAAACAGTAAACTTTATGTTATGTGTATTTTACCACAATAATAAAAAAAAAAGAGCCAGGCCCTGCCCCATACCCTGCTTCCAGAGGGTTCCAGGGGGGAGCTGGTGACTGATAACACTGCTCACTGAGGCCCCTGAGTGACCAATGGCCAGGTCCTGAGTTTGGCTGATGGGCCCCTGCATGTGGGGACAGGGAGAATGACCTGCTGGGCGAGCTGAGGTCATCAGGGCCCTCTGTCCCCGAGGAGAGAGACAGGGGCGTTCCGCGTGAGTCACAGCTGGAATGGGGATGGGCGGATGCCCCACTCCTGGGGGAGCTGCCGGTGCCCAGTTAGGCCAGAGCTGGGCTCAGGGAGAGGGTTCTGCCCCTTGGCTGCACTCGGGCCGGCCCCTCGCACCCCACCTAGGGCTGTGCTTGGCTTGCACATCTGGCTGGGACAGATCGGAAACGAGTCTGTAGCTGCCACCCAGAGGGTCCCGACTCGAGTGTCGACCAGCCTTTGTTCCACCCTGGTCACCACGGCGCCACTGGAATAGGCAACGGTCTCCCTCATTCTCCCCAACAGCCCCATGGAAAACCCTGGCTGGAGACCCTGAAAGCCTCAGGCCTCTAGGACAGCCTGACCCCTGCTCCGGAGCCCTCTCCCCCGCTTCCTGGGATCTCCAGAATCCTGCTGGACTGTAGAGACAGCTCCTCCACCCAGGGCCCACCCTGCACACACAGCGAGCCCGCCAATGCCCAAATCCTCCATGGCCCCCCTGCCTAAAAACCCTCCAAGCGTCCTGCGGCCGGGGAAGGCGAGGTTCCTTAATGCTGCTGCCCTCCACCCCCGGGGAGCAACCCACTGCCGACCCTTCAGCATCTCCCGGGCAGGGCAAGGCCATCTGTGGGACAGGCAGGCAGTGCCTCTTGCCTGCAAGATGGAACAACGAGCCCAGGAGCTGATGGGGCCTGAAGGACCTCAGACCTGGCATGTGACCATGCAGGGAAGACCTCACCTATTCTGTGCAGAAGAGCTCAGCAAGGAGACGCCCCTGGCCAGCCCCCCTGCCCTTTGAGCCCCAGCCTGCCCTTCAGGGCCTGCCTGGATTCCTTCCCTGATGGTTAGAAATCGGGCTCCAGAGAATGGCGGGCTGGCTTCAAACCCCTGCTTGGTCCCTTCATAGCTGGGGTCCTCTCTGACCCTCAGTGTCCTCCTCTGTGAGTGGGAAGCTAATAGAGACAATCGCACAGAGTGAGAGAGAAGCTGCCTGGAGAGTGCTCACTCCAGAACCGTGCCACCCACACCTGGGTCTGAGTGTCCACTGGGGGCAGTGGTGGGGGGATGCCAGGATGGCTGGCCGCAGAGCCACTCACCTGAGGCCTGCCGCTGGGAGACCCTGGAGGCCTCACGCCCCTGGCCAGGTGTTGCCTTGTCTTTGACTCCACTTTCAGCCCCACTCAGGGTGCCTGAGCCTGAAGGAGACAAGAAGAATTGTGAGGATAGAGAGGCTGTGAAGAAATGTCCAGGGAAAGGTCCCCGTTTGGCAGCCGCTCAAATACCTTTAAACATGGCCTTGATGCCCAAGCCTGAGGGCACAGCCCCCCGGGGACCGGTCCCTTCCACGCCTCCCGCGTGCCC